TTCTATATTGTTTTTGTTTTTTATCTTTTTTTGTACTTAATAGAGGGGGGTAATATTTTTTCATAACCATATTGACTACAAAATCCACTTAATTCTGTTTTCTATGTTTTAATTCATTTTTTAATTTAGCTTTTAATTTAAATCAGTGCAAATTATAAAGCTTCGTTATTAAAACTAATTAATCTCCGAAGTTAAGTCTTCATAAGGTATATTGCCATCGTGTTTTTTGTATAATGCATTTTTGACAGTTTGACTAAATAATCTGGTAGACCATCTAGGAACTTTCTTTCCAATAGGGTTTCCTACAGTCTGTTCTTGTGAATACTTTTTGTAAAAACATACTTTATACCATCTAAAATCTGCCATAGTTGGACATCTAAGTTAGCTATATTTCTTGTTTTTTTTCTGAAACTTGTTGGGTCTCCTACAAAGTTTTTGGTTATTGCATAAATTAATGTGGCTACAACATCTCCTTCTTCATGTTCATATTCTACTTGCCTAGTACCTTCTACTTTGACTTTCCTAGTCTTTTTGTTGCGTGTAATATGTGATGTTTATGTGATTCTGGTAAATCATTATCCCACCAATTTTTTAACATTCCTGTAAATCCTGAGACTAATATTTTTGCGATTTGATGTCAGTGTTGTCATGTGATTTATGAGCTAATGCTGCCAGTCATTTCTTGTAAAATATTTAATATTTGATGTTCAGCTAATCCGTCAATATTCCATTCATCTATTCCTGTTCCAGTGTAGGAAGATCTTGCTAGTTGTGTGTATTCTTCAAATTGCATATCTGGTAAAGAAGGTCTTGGGTAATAGTTTCGAGTTTTAGGATATCTCATATTATTTCTCATTTTTTAATAGATAAGTTTTGAAAATTTTGATTTAATTCTTCTATTGGGTCGGATTCGTAAGGACTTAATGTTTGATTTAGAGATGATAATTCACTAAGTTTTTTACTAATATTTCAAGAATAGTGTTGTGATTATTAATTTAATAATTTCCTCTTTTGGCTTTCAAGGGTTCAAAAAATGGTTTAACATATTTTTGTGAATAAAAGGGTGTTGAAGTTGATGTTAAAGTTGATGTTGAATTTCCTAAAGTTGGTGAATTTGTTGAAGTTTCTATTATCTCCTTCCCGGGGGTTTTTGAAATAATTAGATAATTTATAATTAATGTTTAATTGTTGACCATTTGCTCCATATAATCTTTCTTTTGTCTTTTCATAATATTTTGTTGGAATTAATCCTTCTCTTATACAGTTTTGATCTGCTCCAGTGTCAACTAGGGCTTGTGTAATAATATATATATATATATATATATATATATATTAATTGAGTTTAATTGAAATAATAATAATAATTAAAATATCTAAAAAAGCTGTTTGGACATAGGGGTTGTTTGGGTTGGTGTCCAAGCCTATTCCATGAGGGAATAGGGCATTGTGTGCACTATATATGTGTATAATTTTTTTGAAATGAAATAACATTTCATTCAATCATTAAGATTAAAAATTCCAGCCCCCTTTTCTCTCTTCCCACGCCAGATTGCTTTTGTGTTGAATCAAAATATTATTGATTTTGTTCCTAGTTCTTAAGGCTAAAGAGGATCTAGCAAATCCCTCTTTAGTTCCTTGGGGTTATCTTCATGTGAACTACCGCTAGTTCGATCCTACCTTTGGGTCAGTAGTGAAACCCGTTCAGAGACAAGTTGGAGGAGCCTCCAAACGTGCATATGATTTCTTAACTCTAAACTGATTTTTTCTACAGATTCTAATATAATGTATAAACTGTAAATTTGTGTCCTGATCTTGGTTCTAAGGAATGATCCATGTTGTAAATAATTTTTGTTTTTTGCTGCCATGACTTGATTGTTTCCTAACAGTGGTATCAGAGCCTAGGGTACTAGATTTTACAGTTTTATGTATGGTTGATTTCATGTATTTGATTGATAACATGTTGCCTTGATGAATCTACACAAAATCTGCTTTGAAAGCATATTTTAAGAAATCAATTTAATTGATTAATTTAATTTTTTGATGATCCGCAAGTTTGGTATATTGGGTTATGAATTTTTGTTAAAATTAGAAGTTTAGATTGATTACAAATTTTTTTTGGCGTATTTTGGCAGCTGGTTGAACTGATCTGATGCTGCAGATCCGTGTACGCTAGCTACGACGATATAACCCATCGCCCCGACGTGCGTTGTTTAGTGTACTCGCTGATTGCAAAATCAGTGCTCGTCGCGGCGATATAACCCATCGCCACAACGATCATCCTTAGCGCAATCGCTGATTGAATATCAGCGCCCGCTGTGGCGATAGAACTCATCGTCGTGGCAATCGCAGTCTAACCCATCGCTGCGACGATCGCACGTGGTGCATGTACATGACGCAAATCAGTGCACGCTGTGGTGATCTAATCCATTGTCGCAGCAAGCGCACTTTCGAGTGCGTGCGTAGATCTACAAATTGTCATGTGGTAACTAATAATTCACTCACCCAATTAAAAAATTGATTGTTTTTGAAATGTATGCCATGTACTTGTTTGTATATTGCATGGTGTCCGGTACATGAGCCTTAGACCTATGGTGAATGTTTTAAAATTTTTGGATATGTATGGTTGTAATTTATTAAATAGGGCTTGCGTGTCATGCATTTCTCCCCTTCTCGATGTACATTCTTTTCTCATCTCATTCCCCTCGAATGTTAATCGAGGTTTCTAAATTTGTTGATGTAAAGAATTTTGTATAATTATTCTCACTGTAAATTTAGAATGATGTTTTTTGTAATGTGCTTGAAGACGGGTCAAGGAAGAGACAATCATACTTGAAGACTCAAGATTTTATTGCATGACCCCTACGTGACCTACTGATTCCTCTAGGCTTGAGGAAATCAGTTTTAGTTGGGCCATGTACCGGCACGTTTTAATAGTTTGTTTAGAATGCATGCTAAGGTTGAATGTTAAATAACATGCCAAAACAATGTCATTCTAACAAAGATAATAATTTGGTGAGACATTAAATAATAACCCCTCAATTAAAGTATATTAAGTCATGTATGCCTTCCATCACCATGGTTTTAATCAAACCACTGTTCATCGGAACCTTGTTCGCCAAAGCGAAGGGTACACTTCTACCAATGGGAAGTTAAAATTCATTGGAGTTTTTCTTAATGGTGAAGGGTCAACTTAAAATGATGGTTTTGCTTGTTCGCCAAAACGAAGGTTTATAAATGTGTCATAGGCATAGTAGAGAAGTACACATGTTGTGTGTACGTGGTGACATGTAGTGTCCACTCTACTGATACTGAGAATCACACTTGAGGACGATGGCATGCAGTGTCCATTGGATTGTGTGATTGGCTTGTTGGCTTTTTCACATTTGAGGTTGATAGTAGGAGCTATCAACTGGTGTGGATTAAGTTTGTTGGCCTACCTAATCAACCCATTTTGGCTTGTTCGCCAAAGCGAAGGTTTGAAATGGGCAGATGGGATCTTAGTCCACTGGGAAAGTCAACGGGCTTTCTCGAGTTAATAGTGAGGGCTATTAACTTGAGAAAAATTGTAGGAGTGTCATTTAATAAAAGACCATATTAAATAATAATGAACTTTATAATGACTTTATCTTTTCTGCAATTGTAGATTCACCATAATGAGCATTATGAACTGCGACCGATAATCGAGAAAGAAAACAGGTTGGATGATCCAATTTCTCAGACTGGTATCGTAATCTTCAGATTATACTCAAGTCGAAAAAGAAATTGTATATCCTTGAAAAGCCATACATGGCTGAGCCTGATCCTGATGCCACTTAGGAAGTAAAGGACACTTATCAAAAGTTCCTTGATGATGCTGATGAAGTTCAATGCCTGATGTTAGCATCAATGACACCAGTGCTAAAAAAGCAGCATGAGAATATGGACGCTGCTGCCATTATTCTATACCTCAAGGAGCTTTTCGAAGGAAATGCTTGACATGAGAGGTACAAGGTGTCAAAAGAACTGTTTGGATGTCGTCTAACTGAGGGAGCCCAAGTTGGTCCTCATGTGCTCAAGATGATCGAGCACATAGAGAGGCTTGAGACTTTGGGATTTGAGTTGGATGTAGAATTACAAATCGATTTGATTCTGCAATCCTTGCCTGACTCTTATGCATCGTTCATAATGAATTTCAATATCAACATAATGGTGAAAACCTTGTCGGAGCTTTTGAACATGCTGAGGACTAATGAGCAGGACTTGAAGAAGTCCAAGCCTGTTTTACTAGTTCCTGCCAGTTGATAATCCTAGGATTACACTATTTTATCTATGCTTTTTGGCTGGATTTTGGATACTTCTTCTTAAGTTTGTGCCTGAATTGCAACTTAATTTCATATATTTTACGTTTCAGTCTAAAACATGCAGTTAGAGCAAAAACTGAGCGGAATTGAGTTTCTGGACCCAGAATCAAGTGAATTTTAGGAATCAGGAAAGTTCTGATGGGGATTCGAAGCACTATGAAGCTTGTTTCTTTTGGGGATCACTAAGATTGAAGATTCAAGCAAAGAAGCAAGTGGAGGGCAGTTTCATAATTTCAGAAAAGTTTGCCGTGACAAAGTTTATTCTTCGCTGCGGCGAGAAAGTCTCAAGTCAGATTTTGAAATAAAATCCAACTCGATGCCGCGGCGAAGTTTATTCTTCGCCGCGGCGAAAACTGCAATTTTTAGTTTATTGAAATTGTGTGTTTTAATTGGATGAGATTAATCTTAGGATTTTGGGGTCGACTATTTAAGAGAGACTTAGTTATTTTGTTGGGGGTTCGACACTTTTTGGAAAGAGGGGAGAAAATTGGAGATTGGAAGCCTTTGGGTCTCAATGCTATGGAACCCTAAGAAAGAGATCTATAGCTTTAATGTTTGAGTTTGGAGAGATACTTGCTACATGCATGCATGCATCGTATCTTGCTTGAAGAAGGAGCAAAACCTTTTCGTCAATCGCAAAGAAGATTGAACCCGCCCATGATGGATGTTGTGAAGAAGGAGATCTTGAAACTTCTTGAAGTTGGAGTGATTTATCCTATTTCAGATAGAAATTGTGTAACGCCTCGCTTGAGGTACGTAGTTAAGATTTGCTGTATTCTTTAACTCGGTTTTAGTTGAGTTTGTAAGTTAAGTTTGTATGTTGAGTGTTTGCCTTGAAAATTGTTGAGTTTTGAGGACTCTTTAAAATTTTAGTCTTCGCCGAGGCGAAGAATAGTCTTCATCGCGACGACGTTCGCTTGAGTAAGACGGTGTCGGCTCTTTAACTTTTTGTCGGGGTGACGAAAGTTTCTTCACCGCGACGACGAGCCAGTTGAAAAGTTTAATGAGTTTCTAGAGAATTCTTCTTTTGGGGCACATTGACCATTCTACCCCTAGTTGGTAGGAAAAGTGGGGAGTAAAATGTAAGGAAATTTAGTAGAGAATGTGTTGGTGATAAGGGTGTATTTGCAAAGAATCAAAGGATATAGATGGAATATCCAAGAAAGAGCAAGGGCAAAATGGGAAATGATGGTTATATTATGAGCTAAAAAGGGTTAAGTGTAGAGAACCCTTCATTTCATCCATTTTCCACTGCCTCTTCCATTCTTTATTTTCCTCTCAAATTTCCTTCAATCTTCCAAGGATTTCTATGGACTTTTTGAGTAGTTTTTAGTAGAGTTTTAATCTAAAGCATCCTAAGGTAAGGATTCTTGCTTTAGATGAGAGTTTTAGTATGTTTTGGTTAAAGTGTTATGTTGTTGTTGTTTAAAGTTGTAGAGAGAAATCAAGCTACCAAAGGAAAGGAAAAGTGTTAGAGAAGTTATTTCCTCACAAAGTAAGTAAATCTAAACTAAATTGAGATTTAAGAATTTATTTGAGTAGAGATTGTGTATGTATATGTATGTATTATGCTTGCTGAGAAATTGAGATGTTATGGGTATTTATCTATGTTGATATGAATTTAATTGAGTTATGAGAAGTGTTGTGATTGCATGATGATGAGTTGAGTTTGATTGAAGTTGGAGGGAGTTTTGAGCAAACCCTATGGGAGTGTTTTTTGCCTTGACAGGAAATTAGAGTGTATGAGGGAGTTTTCCTCCCATTTTGGATGATTAAAGAGAAGAGTAGAGTTATAGATAAGTAGAGCTTTGGTATGCACATGAGTTGTTTGAGGAAATGCCTAAGTGAAATCTGCCCTGTCACAGCCGTGACTTTCTAAGTGAATTTTGGGCATCATACGGATTGAACTGGGCTGAGACCGAAACATCAAAGTTTTAGCCCTGTTTTTAAGCTTTAAAACGAGACCAAAACCGTAGCAATCCGATGTGTATAACGCAAGTTATGCCCCTTTTAGTGCGACATATGCAGAATGACTGTTTTGATGCAATATTGCATTTGGCATTTCATAAGTGCATTAGTGAGCATGAGCTGTCCATACGCATTTTTTTTATGCACTTAAGAAGTAGCTTGAGATATAGTAGAGAATTTGAGTATAAGCTACCTTAAGAGTAAAGAGAAAGAGAGAATGAGCACTAGAGAACGAAGAGAAAAGAGAATAGAGTAGGTTGTGCGATGGGGAACCCGTGAGTAATGGGTAGAGTATTCCTGCATGTACGCCGCATTGAGAGAGCGGCATGAGTATGAGAGAGAAAAGTGGTGTAGCCCGTGAGAGAGCATGCGGATGAGGGCTATACCTGAGTACCTGAGAGAGAGATTATACACTCACATGGCCAAGGGTTCCGAATCCATGCATAACCGAGTCCGATCTGCTAGAATGAGTAAAAGTCACGTAGAGTGGGAGCGAGTCCCAGCCGTGCCTCCGGTAAAATGAGGCTGTGACTACTAAAGAGAGTTAGTAGAAAAGAGTTATGAGAAAGAGAAAGTAGAGAGAAGTATAAAAGAGAGAGTAAATGAGAATTGTAAGGAAAGAATTAGAGAGAGAGAGTTACGGGGATAGATGAGTAGAGGATTTACCTACTGAGCATTAGTTGTGCTCACCCCGCTGTTTTTTATATTTTGCAGGACCTAGGTGAGGATACAGTCGAAAGGGCGTCGGCAAGCGAAGAGATATGGCTACACTGTCCACCTTGTTTTGATTATTTTGTACATGATACAACTTTTTGTATAAAGAATGTATATGTTTAATAAAAGAAAATTTTGGGCCCAACTTTTTATACTACTTTATATGTATTTTATTATGTACATGTTTTATGAGTATTTGAGTAGAAAGCGGTTATTACAAATTGGGATAGCCCTATTCAATTGGTTCCTAAAAAGACCGGAATAACTGTTGTGAAAAATCAGAATGATGAGTTAGTTCCTACCCGTGTTCAGAATGGGTGGCGGGTTTGTATAGATTATAGAAAATTAAATGCTGTAACCCACAAGGACCACTTCCCTTTACCTTTTATTGATCAAATGCTGGAAAGGTTAGCTAGTCATTCTTACTATTGTTTCCTTGATGGTTATTCAGGTTATTTCCAGATTACGATTGCTCCGGAGGATCAAGAGAAGACGACTTTTACATGCCCAATCGGAACTTTTGCATATCGCCGCATGCACTTTGGCATTTGCAACGCCCTAGCCACTTTCCAAAGGTGTATGGTTAGCATATTCTCAGATTATGTTGAGCATATCATAGAAGTTTTTATGGATGATTTCATAGTTTATGGAAATTCTTTTGATAATTATTTGCATAACCTTACACTTGTTCTTCAAAGATGCATAGAAACTAACCTTGTGTTAAATTTTGAAAAATGTCATTTTATGGTTGACCAAGGTCTAGTTTTGGGTCATGTTGTTTCATCTAGGGGAATTGAGGTAGATAAAGCCAAAGCTGACATTATTCAATCCTTATCTTACCCCACTAGTGTGCGGGAAGTTCGTTCTTTTCTTGGACATGCAGGTTTTTACCAAAGATTCATCAAGGACTTCTCCAAAATAGCATTACCCCTATGTAAGTTGCTGCAAAAGGATGTGGCCTTTGAGCTCAATGAGGCATGTAAAGAGGCATTTGATAAGCTGAAGGAACTGTTGACATCTACCCCAATTATCCAGCCCCCTGACTGGAACGTTCCTTTCAAGATAATGTGCGACGCAAGTGATTATGCAGTAGGCGCTGTTTTGGGTCAAAGGATTGGAAAAGCATCTCATGCCATTTATTATGCTTCCAGGATTTTGAATGATGCCCAGAGAAATTATTCCACCACTGAGAAAGAACTTTTAGCTGTTGTTTTTGCTTTAGAAAAGTTTCGATCTTATTTGCTTGGTACTAAAATTATTGTTTTTTCTGATCATGCAGCTTTGCGTTATTTGATGATGAAGAAAGTGGCAAAACCAAGATTAATAAGATGGATACTTCTCTTGAGTGAATTCGATTTGGAGATCAAAGACAAAAGAGGGACAGAAAATAGTGTCGCAGATCATTTAAGTCGTCTGGCTCATGTGGAGGATGAACTTCATTTGCAAGAAACATTCCCAGATGAGCAATTGTTTTCCACGAGTGTGACATTACCTTGGTATGCAAATCTTGTAAATTATTTGGTTACTAACATCTTTCCTCCTGGTTTGTCTAGGGCTCAAAGAGATAAGATGAAGAGTGATGCCAAATATTATGTGTGGGATGACCCCTACTTATGGAAGCATTATGCAGATCAAGTAATAAGAGGGTGCGTTCATGAAAATGAAATTATTTCCATTCTTACCTTTTGTCATTCTTATGCATGTGGAGTTCACTTTGGAGCTAAGAGGACAGCGAGAAAAGTGTTAGAATATGGTTTCTATTGGCCGTCTTTAGTTCGAAATTCATACTCTTTTTGTAAGTCATGCGATAATTGTCAAAGGACAGGTAATATATCCCAAAAGAATGAGATGCCACAAACCCCCATTCTATTTTGCCAAATTTTTTATGTTTGGGGCATCGATTTCATGGGACCGTTCCCTATATGTTTTGGCTATGTTCATATTTTGCTTGCTGTTGATTATGTCTCGAAATGGGTGGAAGCTAAAGCCACTAGGACTGATGATTCTAAAGTTGTTGCAGATTTTATCAAGTCTAATATATTCTGTAGGTTTGGAATTCCAAAAGCTCTAATAAGTGATCGAGGCACTCACTTTTGCAATCGAACGGTAGAGGCTTTGCTGAAAAAGTATCATGTGACCCAAAAGGTGTCTACTGCCTATCATCCGCAAACTAGTGGACAAGCGGAAGTGTCAAATCGAGAGATCAAGTCCATCATTGAGAAGACGGTCAATCTAAGTAGAAAAGATTGGAGTTTGCGTTTGGATGATGCCTTGTGGGCGTATAGGATTGCATATAAGACGCACATTGGTATGTCACCTTTTCGTTTGGTGTTTGGGAAAGCATGCCATCTTCCAGTTGAGTTAGAACACAAGGCTTATTGGGCGATCAAGAGTTTTAACATGAAGATGGATGAAAGTGGAGAACATAGGAAGTTGCAACTACAAGAGTTAGAGGAAATTCGCAATGATGCCTATGAGAATGCAAGGATTTACAAGGAAAAGACGAAGGCTTTTCATGACAAGATGATCTCTAGGAAGGAGTTTAGAGTTGGTCAAAAAGTCCTTCTATACAATTCACGGCTTCGTTTGTTTCCGGGTAAGTTGCGTTCTCGTTGGATTGGACCTTTTGTTATTACTAATGTTTTTCCTCATGGTGTAGTTGAAATTCAAAGTTTAGCAACTTCCAAAGTGTTCAAGGTGAATGGCCATAGACTTAAGACTTTCTATGAAGGTCTCCAAGAAGAAAATGTGGCAGGATTGGACCTTGAGGATCCGACTTATTCAGATTGAAGAAGACAGCCTTGAGTCGAGCCAACGACAATAAACAAAGGCGCTGCTTAGGAGGCAACCCAAGGGGAGTTTGTTTTCTTATTCTCGCATTTTAAATTTTGGTTATTTTTGCCTTTTCTTTGCATTTCATATTACATTGGGGACAATGTTAGTTTTAAGTGTGGGGGAGGGGATTTAGGTTGTGTTTTAATTTGTTAAAAAAACAAAAAAACAAAAAATATATTAACATTTAATTAATAATAATAATTCATTTAAATATATACATAGATCTATTTAAATATAATATCACAAATTTAATTTTAATATTAAAATTAAATACAGGCAACAACCTTAGCAAATTTAATTGCTTTGTGAGATTACCAAAATACCCTTTCATCCCAAAAGACAAAAACACCCTTCTCACAAATTAATTATTAAATTATCTTCTAAGTGTGTGACATGTAGGCTCCTCATCATATCGGCAGTGTATAGTATAGCGATTAACACCAATTAATCGTCCCACTACACATAAACCAAGATTGGCCCCTAGCAAGGCATTATGGCCACCTGATAGATTCAGATTCAGCGAAATCGCAGCCTGTCAACGGTAAGGTTATCGTGTAATCAAATCTTTTCATCATCTGTTATCTCATCGATACTGAGGTACAGAAATAGTGTCAACCTCAAAGATCCTCGACATGTTTGTATTCAGTTAATGGACCAATGACAGGAATAATAAATTGGATTGAGCATTAACTCAAACCCACCGTGGCCACAGATTTAGTGTCATTGCCATTTACTGAATTACCCAATGTGATAACTTTTCCCGTACCCAGAAGTGATGAATCCTTTGTCGATCCACCATAGTCTCCATCAATTCCCACCATATTCGAGCATCACCCCTAAACAGGAAACTCACATACCGAATCTTCTCTCTATAGATCATAGGGAAAAGCGCTGTCGTACGCTCCACGGACCTAAACCACTCTTCTGCCACTATTAGGTCCGTTGTACCCCTAAATTTCGATGGCTAATGTTGACATGGCAACCCATATATAGGCTCAATACGATTCGGCACTATCGGGGGTACCGACCTTTCTCTTTCTTCTCTGGTGGTCGGTACATTGACTGGAGTTTTAACTCCCTCTGGTATAGATCTCCCCTGACTCTCTACTAATACTTGCTGTATAATATTGTGGATCCTCACTTCATCGAAGACTGGGGAGTAGATTCTATAGGGTTGGAAGGTTCACCCGTGCTCATTGTATTCTTACTACCTGCTCGGGTTCTACGTCTCATTTACATATAAACAGCACATTTAGTCAACTCAATTAACTCATCTATGACTATAAGTAAGGAAAGAAACAACTTACAACGATCGGCCACGAGACGTCAATGCGACGGGAAAGGCACACTGTCAAATCCCAAAATCTTTGCTCTAATACCAAAAATGTAATAACTCTCTAGCTAGTATACTTTGGAAAAATAAGATATGAAATCACTATATATGATATAAAGAACATATAAGTATACAAGTATAAGATAGTGGGCCCATAAATTTTCTTTACTTTATAAACAAATTCTCTATAGTAATATAAAAAGTTATATACAGAAACTCAAAATATGACTGGACAGTAGTGCCGTTCTCTTCTGCTTCTCGACGTTCTCTCCGACTGCTTCTCTCCTACTACCTGCAAAAACAGTGAAAATAATGAAGTGAGCACTAATTGCTCAGTAAGTAAATCCCCTATACCATTCTTCTTCCTCCGTTACTCGTATTCTGAAATTCTTTCCTTACATCAAACTTCTCTATTCTTCTCTATCCTTTCCAAAATTTTTACTTCTCACTTACTAACATGTAAGCACAATTAGGAAACTATTCTGAATAATAGACATGGCATAATGCATATGCACAAATGCATAAGAGATGCATTTTTTTTATTGTTTTTTTGTTTACTTATTCAATTTCTCTTTCTTTTCATGCTTCTCTTCTTTATTTCTTTTCTTTCTATTCTTTCTTTTCTGTTCTTTTTTCTATTCTTTTCTTTCTTTCTTCTTTCTATTCTTTCTTTGCTTTTCTATTCCTTTCTTTATTTCTTTTCTTTCTTCTTTTTATTCTTTCTTTGCTTTTCTATTCTTTTCTTTCTTTCTTTCTTCTTTCTTTTCTTTCTTTTCTATTATTTTCTTGTTTGCCGATCGGACTCGGTTGAGGCATGGATTCGGAACTCTGGCCGTGTGAGTAAGTACAGTCCTTATCTATATGCACTTCTTACAGACTGTACAAATTCTTCTTTCTTCTTCTTAGGTCGCTCACTAAAGGCAGCGTGCATGTAAGTGATTACACTTGTCTATGTTGAGCCACCTACTAAATTTTAGATCCCTACAAGCTAGATCATGTGTTCAAACTAAAGAAAGCACTGTATGGACTGAAGCAAACCCCAAGAGCATGGTATGAGAGGCTTACCTCATTCCTCCTTAATCACAATTTTAGAAGAGGTAATGCTAATAAAACTCTTTTTATTAAGCATGGTAGTGATGAGTTTCTTTGTGCTCAAACTTATGTTGATGGCATAGTATTTGGTTCCACTTGACACACAATTGCAAGAATTTATTGCTTTAATGAAAGATGAGTTTGAAATGAGCATGGTAGGAGAATTAGACATGTTTTTAGGACTTCAAATTAAGCAATGTGATAGTGGTATGTTTGTATCACAATCAAAATATGCAAAGAACATGCCTAAAAGATTCAACATTGAAAATGGAAAACATGCTAAAACACCTATGAGTTCTACCTTTAAACTGTTCAAGGATGTAAATGACAAGAAGGTAGATAACAAATTGTTTAGAAGCATGATAGGAAACCTATTGTATTTAACTACAAGTAAGTCTGACTTACTCAGCCTCCATTGTAAAGTCCGCTACAATGCTTTGCTTAGAGCTCTTCCAACTCATTGCACCCCCATTGAGACAAAATACAAGCCCTGATTGTGATCGATAATCATCTTTATTCGTTTGGAAACTAGCATCACTGTATCCTTTTACAGTGAGCTCATCTTCCCCTCCATAAACCAAAAATGTGTCCTTAGTCCTCTTCAAGTACTTAAGGATGTTCTTGACAGCTATCCAATGATGCTTACCTAGATCCGATTGATATCTACTACAAGTGCTTAACACACGTGAGACATCAATCCAAGTACATAACATGGCATACATGATGGATCCAATTGCTGATGCATATGAGATCCTCTTCATTCTATCTCTCTCATCGTGTGTTTTAGGACACATATCCTTAGAGAGATAGACACCATGTGACATCAAAAGAAATCCCTTCTTGGATTCTTCCATACTGAATCTCTTCAGTACCTTATCAATGTATGTACTCTGACTTAGGCCAAGTAACCTACGTGATCTATCTCGGTAGATCTTTATTCCGAGGATGTAGGCTGCTTCTCCTAAGTCATTCATGGAGAAGCACTTGGATAACCAAGTCTTTACCGACTGCAAGTTAGGGAGTAACGTCCTCTTGATCTCTCAGGCTCATGGTGTACTCTCCTAGATCTATGTTGCTCCTATGCCACTTGAGGTGGTTCACTTTGATCCACAAGTTGTGGAGTAACCTCCTCCTGATGTTCAACAATTGCTTGTGGAACATCTCCCCGTCCTTCGTCTAGTATATCTTGTGGCTCTAGAACTTCATCAAGTTATACTTTTCTCTCCTTAGTACTTCTTAGAAAAAATTCCTTTTCTAGGAAGACACCAGTACGAGCAACAAAAATTTTGCGCTCTTTTGGATAGTAGAAATAACATCATTTGGTCTCTTTAGCATACCCTACAAATATATATTTGTAGGATTTTGGGCCCAACTTGTTCGAAGTCAATTTCATGACATAAGCTTCGCAACCCCAAATCATTAGATAAGACAAATTAGGCTTTCACCTATTCCATAGTTCAAATGGAGTCTTGTCTATAGACTTTCACGGCACACAGTTCATAATGTGAGTTGCAGTCTCTAGGGCATAACCCCATAATGATGCAGGTAAATCACTAAAACTCATCATAGACCTAACCATGTCAAGTAAGGTAATATTCCTCCTTTCAGACACTCCATTGTGTTGGGGTGTATACGGAGGGGTGAGTTGTGATACTATCCCACATTCCTTAAGGTAGTCAGAAAACCCTAAGCTTAAGTATCCACCTCCTCGATCCAATCGAAGAGCTTTAATACTTTTGCCACACATATTCTGTACTTCATTCTTAAATTCTTTGAACTTATCAAAGACTTTAGATTTATGTCTCATGAGGTAGACATAATCATATCTACTAAAATCATCAGTAAATGGGATGAAGCAGGAATATCCACCTCTAGCTTCAACTGATAGTGGACCACATACATCACTATGGATGATGCCTAACAGTTTTTTTTTTTTTTTTTGTTAAGTAAGTAATAATATTAAAAAAAGATAGAAGAATGTACAAAGGCCTGATAAAGGGCGACCAGCCTATTTTGGGACATGCCCCAAAATAGGAATCAAAGGAAACAAGCCTACAAACGGCCATTCACTCTTGGGGTAAATCTTAAACCAAAAAACCACGAAGAAAGCAAGGAGAACAACAACAATTCCACCTACCATAGGACACCTCCTTAGGTTAGGATCATTATTAAAGAAAACCACGATATCAAAATCGTTAAAATGATAGAAACACAACAAGAAAAAACCATTATGTGTAACCCTCCGTAATCCAGTCTTCAAACGGTGTCGGGAACTTGAGGAAAATCTTTGAAATAGATCTGGGAGGCCCAATCATTCGCCAATTCCCATTGCTATAGGATACTTTGAATTCCTAGTTCCATGGCTTTGTCTCTACACACACTTTTGATAACATCAATTATGGTGAAGGAATCCTTATAGTCACCCCAAAAATTCGTGAATTTCGCTCCCTCCAAATCCAATAAACCGTGCCCCTAAAACAAAGCTACCCAAAGTGAATTTTAAGCTCTTACCTTTCCATTTCCTTGCCAA